TATGTTACAGTAAAATGAGTTACTAATACTCATTTTATGGTATGAGCTATGAGAGTAATCAAAAAAGTTGACTTGAACTGTATAGTAAGGAAACCTGTATACAACTCAATTAAAGTTACAACACTTAAGTTGTAGTTAGAATTTTTATTTATTTTATTTTTTATTTTAAACCAGAATCCTGGTTTAAAAATTAAAAAAGGGACTGTGCTGCTCGGTATCTTCCCTACATTCCACCAAATCATGTTACATCAGATATAGGTAAAGAAATAAAGGAGGAAAAATAAATTCCAAATCAAGAAAGGGTTTGGTGGTAGCAGCAAAACCAGTAGATCCTTTAGAGCAGTTTTTCTCAAATTGGTGACTTTAAAATGGGTGGACTTCAACTCCCAGAATTCCCCAGCCAGCAGCATGGGGACTGCTTTAGAGGATCCCTAGGTTACTGGGATTAGATGTTCATGCTGAAGCAAAAAAGAAAAGGAGCCCAGAACAGGGAGGATATGCAGCAGATCACTGCAGGAATTCTGCTATTAGACATGAAGAGTTTAAGCTTTATTTTTTGGGTGGGAAATGATTTGGAGAATGGGAGGAGTGTAAAAAGAAGCAGGGCTAGACAAGGGTCTGCAGCTAGATTCCCAGATGACTTGTAGTTGATTATCAAGGCCTGAGCAGTGACAGAGCCTACTTGATTTTGTAGCTACATGGACACAGCCATGTAATTTTCTTGGCAGTGATACAGAAGGGGTTTGCTATGGAAGCATTCTTCTGGCCCTAACAGAATGAATGAATGAATGGTTGCTTGGTTGCTTGGTTGGTTGCTTGCCCTGGAAGGAACTTATCATGGAGAGCACCAAGCTGAAAAGGCCCTAGTAGAAAAAGACCAACCTTGCAGGGAGAACCTCTACCCCTGTTATAAAGTTTATAGAGTGTGAGTCCTGGATGATCATGTCTGTCTTTCTCCTTCCTTCTCTCTCCAGAAGCAAGCTTGCATGCTGATTCGCAATTTGGTCTCGCATACTCAGGACTTCTCCCAGCCCATCCTGGAGATGGGAGCTGAGAACTTGATCACCGAAGCACGGGCAGCCCATCGGGACTGTGATGATGTGGCCAAAGCTGCGTTGAGGGACCTGGGCTGCAAGGTGGAGTTGCGGGAACTCTGGACCGGCCAGAAAGGAGGCCTGGCACGTTGAAGTCTCAGACCCCTCCCTGGGGGCAGCACCTGTGGATGCGGAGTAGGAGAGGGAAGCGAAGATTGGAATAAATCCAGACCGAGCAGTTGAGAGGGGAGAATGTATTGATGCCTCTGGAAATGGGTAGGACGTAGTTGCTGCAGCAGGAGGCACGTGCTCTCTGCCACGCTCTCTTGCACTCAGCTTCTGGCCCAGGCTCCCTTTTTGTCTTGTTGGCAGTGCCCATGAACCAGCCCTCCTCTCGAAAATAGTGTGGCAATGCGGCTGCAACAGTGCCACCATGCAGCAATGCCACCATGTTCGGGAAAGGGAAATGCCTGCAGCGTGTGTACTAAACACTAGCTTCTGTACAAATTGTCTCAATGATTTTAGCAAAAAAAAAAAAAAAGAGGGTGAGAGAGCAGGTGGTGGGACCCACATTTTGCTTATGTCTCTGAATACTTCCCTCTCCTGCACTGCAGATCTCTGTTACTCAACTAGGCCTCTGTTACTATGACAACAGTTAGGCTTACTAGCTTCCTGCTGTAATGCTTCCATTTGTTTGAATGTGCTGCCTGCGATCCTGGTCTACTTTTTGTCCTTAGCCATTCCAGTTGTTTCCTCGTGTCATCATGCTGTTAAAACTAATGCATGCTGCCTTTTTATTTTTCTCGAATTGTTCCCTTCCTCCCCTCATTTTTTTGTAATAGCAGAAATGTCAACTGGTTAGGGGCAGAACAAGGTTAACTAGTGTGGGATCCTACCATTCTGCACTTTGAAAATCTCTGCATTCCTTTTGAATATGTATTTAAATCAGATTTCTAGCCCATGGGGGCTGTGGTTTGTGTGTACTCCAAGAGGTCAGAAAAGAATAATGATCTTTTCTTTTCTTTTTTTTTCTTTTTCTTTTTCTCTTTCCTTTTTTCTTTTTTTTTCTTTGCTGCCTGCCTTCCTGCCTGCCTCTCCCTGTGATTAGTAAAATCCGGGATGAGTTAATTCTCCAAAATGGGACTGTTTGAATAAACCAGTGTAATTTATGCAAACTGCAAAGTTTTTACTTTCCTTGATGTAGAATTTGGGTTGCCTGTGCAAAAATTGATATATGAAATATAACAAAAAATACACAGCCCCATTTGTAGCCAGGTTGCTTCTACTGTGTCCCGACATTGATGAAAACTTTTTTTATTTTTTATTTTTTTTGGTCATAAACTGGAGTGATAGGAGACATCCTACACATATACTTCATTCTGGACATGTCACGTTATTTAACCAGACAGACTGGTTATAGCCCAATATTGCCTACTCCAACAGTGATTTTCTAGGTTCTCAAGTAGAGAAAAGTCTCTCCTGTTGCTTATTCCCTGATCCTTATTAATTGGTGATGTGCAGGATCAATCCTTCTGCAAGGAAAGAATGGCTATAACATTGAATTATATTCTTCTTCCTAAAGATCATCATCTTCCCAGTTCTAATCAAAGGCCTGATTTAAACAGGAAAGTGTCTTTCATCAGATGTAACTAGGTCAATATTGTTTATTCTGCAGTTCATTCTCCGGCGAACTTCAAGTGGCTCTTCTGTATCTATTGCCTGATCCCTTTAACTGGAATATCTGGGCTTCAACATGGAACTTTCCTGTAACTCTTTTCTGAAATCAGGCCTGGCAAGAATCAGTGTGTGAGCATAGTCAATAGCACACGGTCTGCTAGCATCATCCAAGTGTGCAATTTACCTTTCTTTCTGTCCTTGTGGAGTAACTGGCTCCAATTTTGATATGCCAGAGTGTATGAAGGTACTGCAAAACAATTGGGTGGGTCAAGATCCTAGTTCCTTTCCTTTTCCATGGCTGATATACTGACCTACTTCTAGGAGAGCCTTTGGCAAATTTTGATGATTCAAAAGGAGGGTATATTTGTCATCTTTGAATGGGGAGTGTTAGTTCTGGAATTCTGAGAGTAAGTTATGGATACTTACAAAACGGCTTCCAGCAGAGGGGGTGGGCAGCTTGTCTAATCACAAAATGCCCATTTATCAGAAGGCAAACTGGTGAAGTTTCTTGCTGCCATTCCTTCTACTCCCCCTCTCTAGTCCCACATGGTCTCTGCCACCATACCTTACCTTTATGCTTTCTCCTGGCAAGGGCGAAGAGCTGAGTTGCATCTCCTGATCTTTTTTTAATTATCTGAAAATGCCTGTAGGGCCCAGATGTTGTCTTGTCCATAAGGATAATGCTGGAAAAGCATTTTAAGAAAATCAAGTGTGGAAGGTTACCCAGTGAGTGCTGAAGGAGATGTTCTTTGACCCACACCTCGTGGGCATCGCATGGGAGTCTAACCATAGGCCATGTAGTCCGGAGTACATACTTTAGGTGATAGAGTTTGGGCAGGTCAGTTGTAGAAAATAGATAGAACACCAAACTTTTTCTCCACTTGGAAGATTCACCAAAGGCTTTTCAGATGTTCTTGGTCTTATCAAATGTCATCACTGGAATTACTGGGACATTCTGTAAAGAGTGGCTCAGAGCAGGTAAACCTTTGCCCTCTAATTGAGAACCTCCAGATGTGCTCATTGTTTATTTTGGAAGGCCTCTAAATAGGTCTCCTTGGCTATTGTTCACATTGCAGGCTTAAAGTAGTTTACTTTAGAATTAATTAAGCGAGCATCTTAAGTAACTCCATTTTCTACATTTATACAACACACTGAAACATAAACGAACCACATAGACTGAGTTTGCTCAACAGGCAGACTAACATGTAGCTGACTAACTTCTAGTACTGTGCCATGCAGCCTAAGTGCCCATACGGGTAAAAATGTTATTTCTCAGCCAAGAATGATCCTTTCTTAGGGATGAAACATGTTGGGTTGTACTGAGAACTGGATTTGAAGGGCAAATGAAGGGTTGTGGCTGTGTAATCCTAGAAAAATAGGTAGTTTACAGTGTTCCCCTATGTATCACAAATTAGAGTCTGCTCTTCAAATCTGTATTTTGCACAACCCTAATGCTAGCAAACACCATCTTAAAACAGATCTTAAACCAGAGCTCTCTTGTAAGGTGAAAAGCGGGGGGGGGGGATTATTAAAAAAAGCAACATAGTATGCTCTGTGCAGTTTTGATAAGCATTTCTCTAAAGAATACTGTTTATACAAATGCTACCCAACTGTTCATGGTCCCCATCTAGCCAATTAACCTATTTTTTTTATGTGATTCATCTAACTTAAGTCCCTCCAGACATTGCAGAAAGCCATTAGTCCCTGCCAAAATGTGCAATAGTCAAGAAAAAGGAGGAATGAAATGGGAGATACAAGGCAACAAAATCTCCATCTTTCTAACTTAGTAAATATAACTTCTCCAACCTAGTGTCTCCGGCTGCATTAGCAAAAAAATTTGGAATTCATAATTGGAGGGCACCAGGTTAGGAAAACCTGTTTTAACAGATTAACTATTGAAGCCTGAATAACTAGCAATAAATATCCATTTGCTCCCTTTGCTCCTTAAACCTAGAAAGTACAAATCTGGTGTATGACACTGTATCCAAACCAACATTTGAAAGCAGCTTCTTTGTATTTAGTGGACTTCCTCAACCTGAAAAAGGCAGGACCCTCGCCTCTTCCTTTACCATATTTGGCTTGTGGGGCAGAGTGATAATTGGGTTGCCCCACCAAACACCCAGCCTCTGAGTTCTCTGGAGTTCCCAGTACCTTCATAGTGATGGCAAATACATTCCAGTCTTTTTTTTTTTCCCTCTCTCCCTCTCTCTTTTTTGCACAAAAGAGGAAAGCAGAAGTTTTAATGGAAACCATCAGTTTCTGAAAAATATTCCACATCCCCGAGGAGCTGTCTCCTGGTTCCCCCCCGAGGTGGATCACCAACCTCAGGGTGGTCTGGGGTGAATGCGGCTGCTGCGCAGGGTGAGCCACAGTCTTATGCGAGTGGTCAGCGACTGGCTGCTGCCTCCTATTTCAGCTTCACCACTGGTACTAGGCTGTGGTTGTGCCGGGGGCGGTTTCTTGAAGATCCTCCAGACCCAGGAGACGATGGTGTGGAAGCTGAGACGGGAGGAGGTGGTGTGGGGTTCTGTAGGACTGGGGGGAGACTCAGCGGCTACGGTGGAGGGCACAGCAGAAGGCAGCTGCCGAGGGCTCAGCTTCTTTCTGTCCTTTGCCAATTGGACCTGCAAGAGAATGAAAAAGCCACTTTCTACATCTGTCCGTTAAAATCTCCTTCCAACTTCTGCTCAAGGTGTTCTTGAAAAGGGCAACTATGATGGAACTGTGAAGCAAATTGGACATTCTGGGTCTAGAAGTGGCCACAGAAAGTTTCAACAGAAGAGAATATAGCTCAGGGTTGAACTGTGGAGACCTTGGGGTTCTCTGAGCTTGTTTGTTTTCTTGCAGACGTTTCGTTACCCGTCTAGGTAACATCTTCAGTGCTCTGAAGATGTTACCTAGACAGGTAATGAAACGTCTGCAAGAAAAAAACCAAGCTTGCAGAATCCCAAGGACTCCTCATAGAAAGTTTCTCAGCAGATCCCAAATGAAACGAAAACGAACAGTGGTTCTTTGCACGTGTGATGAGGAAACAGACATCTTTCTTAGCTGCTGTTGAGTATATAAGTCTTTTAAATAAGTAAATGTATGACTCAAGCCAGCTTGTGATCAAAAATAAGAAAGACCATCACATCGAGCAAAAAAGAAGCTGGCACATCCGGAAAACAGACTAAAAGGAACCAAGAAAGCTCAACGTTTATCCTAGCCAAGGACTGGGAAAACAGCCAGGTCTTCAAAGACTTTCAAAGCATCATCATGGTAGGAGCTGTACAGATCTCTGGGTAGAGGACAGGGGCCACAACAGAGAAGATGTGCTTCCTGGCTCTGAGAGATGACACTGCTTAATCAAAGGGACCCAGAGTGCACCACTTGACCTGATTTCTGCCTGAATAAATAGGGCACTATTCATATTTCAGGTTTAGGGTTTCCTATGGTGTTTTCCTTCTCAACAAGGGTGTCCTTACAAAGGCAAATGGTTTACCGCAGAACTAAGACTCCAGAGCTCTATGTGCTCTCAGACAGCTGAAAATTGCAGCAACGTTTCTGAGCGTTTTGAGGCAGGGCATGCATGGAAACAATGGTTAAAACAGGCTTAATGTTACTCCTAGCAAAAAAACAAGCAGTCCTGACCTTTGCCAGTTTTGCATCATCGCTCGATCATGTCTCCTTTTGCCTTTTAACCTTTGCCCAAAAACATTAAGTGTGGGTCCTGCCCACTCAAAGATAACTCATGTATGTTTGGAGAAGAACTTAGTAAACATAATTTTTCAGAAGGAATTTGGCCCCAAAGTTACTGTTTTCAGAAAGAAACACAAGCTTAGTTGTTTGAGCTTGATGGTATAAAAATAGTGATGGAAGAGTTTCCCCACAACAACATCCTGGAGATAGGCTGGCCTAAGTCCCTGAGGCAGTTTCCATAGCTGAAGGAGATTAGAATCAGATTTGTATGGGTCATTAAGAATCTTTGGGGAAACCCTGACCTGATTCACAGGCCATGTTAAGCCTTGCGCTCATGATGTTCATATGGAACTGAAGTTTACTTTTCTGGAGGTTTTATCTGATGTCTTGGTGTCTTCTTGTCTATATTATTTTAAGAGTTCTTCTGCATACCATTCTATGGGTCTCTAGCTCAAAGACGTAGGTAAGAAATCAAGTTAGTACTTTTAGGCTGTTTTCCTTCTGATTTATGTGCAGCATTTTGAAAAAGTCCTGTTGCTGATTTTTTTGAAACTTTCCCCCTTTCTTAGCCTTGATGTTATGCTGTTTTAACAATTATTTCAGCGTTTTGAATTCAAGGCTTTTGATTTATCTCTCCGCTGCTAAGCAACTTCTGTCACTGGGCAGTTTATAAATGCAGTCATACACATATAAAACATACAAACATTATCTATTATGCCATTCCCTTCCAGGTCAAGCAATGCAGAAAAAAGGAATAAAATACAGTTAAAGAAATTAAAGACATGGTACCAAAAAAAAAAAAAATGATATAGCTAAATCTGGATTACATCAACATAATTCACTATCTCTCGATTCCTTT